GGTGTTTTTTCTCATTGCAATTCGTCGTGGGTGTTTGATGGGTTTTAGGTTCATCACAAATTCCACGGCGAGTTATAGGCTTCACCACAAGTCCATGTCGGCCTACGAGTTTCCATGGGTGTTTGTGACTTTGGTTTGGTACATTCATGTCAATCGTAGTTATGGAAAACAATAAGTGCTTACACATACATTTTTTAAATAAATAATAATTCAAAAATTATAAAATTAATCTACAAAAGGAATTATCCAAAACTATGTAAATAATAGTCCATTGTTATTATTCAACTACTAAATCATTATTACAAAATTTAGGAAAGTTAAAGGGAAAAATTTTGATAGGTGCCCTGTAATTTATGCCGAGTGCCAATTTAGTACTCAAACTTCAAAACGTGACAATCTAGTATCCGAACTTTCAAAATGCGATAATCTAGTACCTACCGTTAATGGACTGCTAGTTATGTATACCACATGACCTCATGTGCAACTTAAAACTTTTGGAAATGTCAAAATTACCCTTGTAAATAAAACACACTGTTAATCATCTTCTTGAAACAAAGCCCAATCTCTCCGATCAAAGTTTTGAAAGAGACGACCACTTTCGACCGTCTACATGACTCACTCTTATGTCTCATCTTCCACAAAATCCAAGACGCCAAGATGCTCGGCCGTTGCCTGGTGTTTTCGGAAGTGTGTCATTAACCAATTCGGAACACCAATTTTAATATTTATAATTTTTTTTTCGATTCTCAAACAATTACAAACGCAATAAATAGAAAAATCGTTATTTACGTGAATCCAGGAAAAAGAACATAGTTGAAAGTTGAAGAAACACATGATTTAATTAATTAAACTGGAAAACTATAATCTGAATATTGATGAAAGTTAAAATTGCAGAAAAATAAATAAATGAAGAAAACAAAATAAAAAAAGTTTGTAATCCAATCAGAGGTAGCAGTCTCTGGATCTCTCATTTGACCATCGAACTTCTCGAGCTAGGCCTTCTGTCTTATCTGGCCGAATTCCAGATCTATAAAAAAGAAAACGAAAATTAAACTGAATGAAAGTAAATTGCAGAAAGAGATAAACTGAACTGAAAATGAAAGAACAAAAATTAAATCTAAGACTAATGGTTGGAATCTGAATCCATAGGTGGCAGTAGTGGCTTAGGCGAACTGCAAGCAGGAACCCCTCATCTTGCTTGGGCGTCATTCTCTTCCTCTACCCTTGAACTTTTCAAGATCAACCTTTCGTCTTATTTGGGGGCAGAATCCAACTCTTCTTCAGAAGCCCTTGGGTCCTTTTTATATAGAATGGTGGATATAATTGGGATTAGAGAGAAAGAGGGGGCGACAACTGGGTTTTAGCAAAGATCTGGGCACCCTACGGTTTCTAATGAAGGGTTAGATGATTTTAAGGTGATCATAAGGCTAAGAAGAAAATGAGAGGGTGCCCAATACTATGTAGGGTTGAGATTTAGACGCCTAAAAATGGATTGTGGATATTGAGATGCATAGGGTTGAAAGGTGGAGATTAAAAGGAGTAGGTGGTGCCCTATAGTGGATGGCTGAGATAGAGAAGGGAATAAAAGACTGAGATCTAGTGGCTAGGGCTAAATGGTGAGGATTAGAAGCTAGGTGGCGCCCTAGGGTTAAAAAGCTAAAAAGACAATGCCCTATAATGAATGATGGAGATTATAAGGAATGGAATGTGGGGATTTAACAGCTAGGGGCGGCTAGGGTTTGTTAGGGATGAAAATAATGAGTTAGAAAGCGTCGTAGAATTTGCTAAGGAGAGACGAGTATGCTAATACAGTAGGAGGGGCGCCATTATGGGTTTAGCAGATAGGAGGCACCATCTTGTGCTTAGTTTTTTCACAAAAACACCCCTCTATCAGCTGGATTTCATACTAGTTTCCCAAAATTTGCATTTTCAGCCATGAAACTTCCATAGTTTTCCACAATATTTGCATAAAGACCCTCATAGGTCACAATATTGAATTTAACTAGGGAAATTGAACAATTTGAATATTTTAAAGCTGAAAATAGCCCTGAAATGATGCCCTTAAGGCATCAAAATACAGAGTTATCACACGCTCGAACTTAATCATTGCAAGTCTCTTAGCAATGCAACCTTAAATTTACACTGAGTAAAGAGATCACTCACATTGCAATATATCATCCCTGACAAAATTAACCAAGTATAATGATTTCAGAATTCTTAAACTTTGTATAGATCGGTATTGGGTTTAAGTGGTAAAACCGTCTTGTTTTGAATATTACAGAAACTTGGCTTAAAAATCTTATATACCCTTCCATTTGCGGACTGTTTTGAGAAACTGAGATTAATTTTAAAAATTAGGCGGGTATTCTTCTTAACATTTATGACAGTGGATTTCTACCCCTGAACTTGATATGCACACTTATTTTTATTGCTACCTTCCACCGTTTGACGTGAATTTCGACACTTGCCTTAGGTGAAGAGACTCGGTTATTAGGTGTTAGGTGATCGTCTTTGGCATTCCCTTTTCCGTTTGACGCGAATCTTGACAGTTGACTTAGGTGAAGAGACCCGATTACTTTCCCTTTTTTTTGCAACATTGTTCAGGGTAGTCAACTGTTTCTCATCTTTTTTTTTTCTCTCTCTTTCCTCACCCCGACTTAAATGCTATTGTTCCCAATGGCATGACTGGATTTATGCAAAGGGACTTTGGCCGAAGAGAATAATCAATAGTGTTTTCCTGAGGGGTTCAAGGTCTGTCACTTGGTATCGAATCAAGAAAGGAAAAACTGAACTCCTAAAAGCATGAACACTAAAAACTACGTTGGGTTGCCTCCCAACCAGCGCTAAGTTTAACATATTCAGCCAGACGCATTGACACACTTCTCTCTGAATCACTTATGCCTATCTTTTCAACCTTTCCGCTCTCAGAGACTCCTTCCACATATCGTTTAAGTCTTTGACCATTGACTTTGAATGTGTTTCCGTAATTTGGGTCAACAATTTTAACTACACCATACGGGAAAACTTTTTCCACAATAAACGGATTTGGAGCAACCTTTCGTATAAATATGAACAAATTCCAAATAATAGAACTCTTTGGGATCTATCTCAATTTCAACTTTAACATTTCCAACTACGATAGCCTAAGCAATTTACGCACATCTTCAACCGAAATCACATCCCTAGGATTTATCTGCGTCACTGGAGGAATCAAATTGTCTAATTGAAGACAGTCTTTGTTTACACCCATTCCTCTCAACTTTTCTATTAACTTATCTCCAATTGCTAGAGAACGAAGCTCCGACGTCATTGCTAGTTGAACTAGCAACCTCTTGTGAAGGAATTTCCGGAAGAAGCCATTATTGCCGAAATCCGTTGAGATGAGGAAGTCACGTTGGTCGGTTGGGATGGCGAAATTTGTAGGGACAATGTTTTCGAACGACGGAGAAGAAACAGAGGAATGTGTTAGTATTAGATTTGGGGAGGAGATTTTGGTTACATTGGAAAGATGGTGAGCTAGGGTTTTCCTCAACGCTATTGATTTACAAAAGAACATAACAAAAAAAAAAAAACTATATACAGAAGCAGAAGAGGGAGGTGGAATGGGTTTCCTATTTGGCGCTGTAATTTTCAAGGGTGTATTTGTTTGAACTGCATGAACAAGGAGAGAGTATTTTATTAGGAGATGGAAAATTGAACGAATGAGAGAGGATAGGATACTTCACTAAACTACAACCTTTCTCTTCATTATGAGCATGCTCATTCCGTCCCGATGCGGCAAAAAAAAACCCTGGTTGTCTCTTCTGGCACCGACTACAAGAGTCATCTTCTCCGGCAACGACACTAATTTATTCAATTTCAACTTTTATGGCGTTGCGTTCGAGCGTCAATTTTAGCTTTTCCGGCGGCACATTCGCTTGACATCTCCGACGTGAGGATCTGGCTTTCAAAATCTTAGGTATCTGCAAGTGTGATGGGTAATTAAGTCTTTTTGTCTTCTAATTAACGCTTAGTTAACGCCAGGTACTAAATCGTCGCAAAATGAAAATTCGGGTACTAGATTTTCGCGTTTTAAAGTTTGGGTAATAAACTAACACTCGACCTAAAGTACGGGGTACCTATCGGGAAATTTCCCAAAATTAATCTATCAGAAAAATTTTCATATTCATTTAAATAACAATTCATTATTGTTATTTTAATAAATCTACCGGGGCCCGTGCGTTGCATGGGATGGGGCACTTCTCTTTATCCCTCACCCCCATAGTCAAGACACTCCACCCCATCCCCGCCCGATCCCTAGTGGTGGGGCAGGTTCTAGTCAAGGCACCCATGCCCTCTCAGGGATGGAGAATCCCAAATTTTTCCCACAATGAGGCAACCACCTAAAAATAATATAATTTATAGATATTTTAAAAATAAGACTGTGAAAATTTGGAGGTATTTTAGGAATTAGATTATGAGAACTTGGGGGTATTTTATAAATTGAACTGTGGGATCCTATGATTACAAGAATATGAGGAAAACTTAGAGATATTTTAAAAATCAATATTAAATCTATTGATATTTTACTAATTTACCATCAGATTTTGGGAATTATATGCAAACCCTGTCATTTCTTCATCCCATTTTAGAGCAAAAATATTTTCCCCATCTCCATCCTATCTCTATTTAAAATCCATAAAACTTACCCTGTTTAGTGTGGGGCAGGGTAAGGCCCTAATTTTATAGGAAAAATTATCATCCCTACAATTATAATAATTTTATAAATTAATTAATTAATAATAAATTACAATATTTTATGATAATTTACAAGAATAATTGAAATTGTTGTTGATTAGTAAAAATGTATAATAAATTAGTTATTTACGATAACAGTAAATTTAATGTTAATTAAAGTTTGGAATATAGCGGCGGATTTTTAACGTCACGAAGTTAAACGTCGTTATATCTATTTTGAACGGCAAATGCTGCTGATAGTTGTGCACTTAAATACAGATGCATCAAAAAATAGAAAAATGAAAGAGCCCCGCTAAAGCTTCTCTCCCGCGCAAACGAAACCCCCACCTTCCTTCGTCTTCTCTCAAACCGCACCAGCAAACTCCCCACCCCCACCAGCAAACTCTTCTCTTTGCCGATTCTAGGTTTTCAAACGTCTCTCCCTCATCTCTCGCCATTCCTTCGGCAGCTGAGAAGAACCGAACTGAACTCAACTCCGGTGAGGTAGGTCACTGATTTCTCTCCCCTTTCATTTTCTTCCTTTCGTTCTTTCTCCCACACTTTTATTTTTCTTTTTTTCGTTCGTCCCCTGTTTTTCTGCAGCAAACCAGACCATCCAAGTAACCATTTTTGAGTACACATTCTCATCCCTGCAACACCAAGTTATGATTTGATTAAATCCTTTGTAAAAAGAGAACCATAACCAATAAGAAATAGAAAAAGAAAAATAAGCAAGACCTAACCAATTTTTTTGTAAACTTTTGTTATTGGATTATTTCATTGTGGTTAAAATCATGGGTTTCATGAAGAATCGAATCACTTGCCCATATGGTTATATTCTTCTCAAAAAGGTTCTTGCCGTATTTAACATTTTTTATGTTAAAGACCTAATAGGAATTTTAGATTAGGCTATTGCATTTTCATGCATTTTGTGCTTTTCCTCTTATAAGTTGCTATATATGACCTTACACAGTTGAGATTTACTTCTTCAAATCTTAAGAAGTGGATCATTTACTATTTTGCTTATTAGAAATCAATGCTAGAAATATGTTGCTCGAATCTCATGTCATTAAGAATCTTTGAGTGAATAGATTGGGTTCATCCAATGAAAGTATCATCACTGGTTGATGCAACCCTTGAATTCTTTTTCCCTTTCAAATTTGTTCCTTCTGAGTTTTATGAGTCCAGCATTCTAAGGCTCTTACCACGTGAACATGGTGTCTTTTGGTATTATTTCTTTCTTCAGTTTCCGTTGACTGCTCCTTTATGCTTTATGGTTTTATTTCTCTTGATAATTTTATTTGGCTTTTTCTCACTTAGCAAAAAAAGAGTTACTTATATCAACCCAAATTATGAAAATTGCCAGGTCCTCCAAAGGCATTTTATACAATAAATTTAAGGTTTAGGGGTTTAGGGATTTAGCCTTTGGGGTTTAAGGGTTTAGGCATTAGATTATAGGGTAAGGTTTAGGGTTTAAGGGCTTAGAGTTTAGATTTAGGGTTTAAATATGAAAATCAAAAGGTGGTAGGATGCATGTCCACCAACAGGGTAGGGTCCAAGTATTGCCCCTTCATGACAGCATAGTTACTATGTTCTTTGCTCGTGTGTTAGGTTCATCTAAGCACCAAAATTTAGCTAGGGCATCTCAACCACCAAATCAATCCAGTTGCGTGGCTAATCCAATCATGAGCTAAAAATTGTATGGCCTATATTCATATAAACTCATGCATTAACAGGTTAGGACTGCTTTGCTCTTGCATTTTCTAGAATGTAATCCAAAGAATTAGCCTCTAATTGCTACATCAAGATAGATAAATTTATAGACCTTTTGGATGATACTTAATCAGTAAACATGATCTCTTTGTTTGACAATTTTTGTGGGTTGGAGTAGCAGAAAGTTTTACTAGTCAATTTTGTAGTAAATCTCTCTTGTACTTTTCGTTTTGATGTTATAAGGTATTTTCCAAATGGGAGGTTACAAATGTTCCTTTTCCATTGTCCAAATGGAAGCATGTTGTACTCAAAACAATGCTGAGCGGGTGCCATCTCTAAGGAATAGTAAGTTTAATGAGAAGTTCCCCAGTCTAGAGATACTAACTATTACACATCTATGTTGCTGTTGGTGCAAGTACGATGGTTTCTTTTTTCTTTTTATCTTTAGTTGGATGGGCATCGGCTTAGATCATATGTTCTTGATGGGGGAAGCTATTGGAATGAGCATGAATCAATTTTCTATTTTCTGACAAACCACCTTAAGACTATTACTATATTTGGGTTCATCTCAGTGTCTTATGGGATACAATTAGTGGAATTTCTACATAAGAATGTAGTGATCTTGGAAAGGATGGTGGTCTACACAAAAAAGGAATAACCAAATCTGATCAGCAAAACTATTTTTCTTTTACAAAGAGACTGCTAATTGGGGTTTACCAATCATGGTTGTTGCTAATATATATATATATATATATATTGTTGGCTGATTTATTTTTAAGCCGGTTCTTCATCCTGTGAGAAAGTCATCTTTATACATTTTTAGTTACACTTAACAAAGCAATTATACCTAACACAAATATGATCTCCCATGGTTGCGCCCACATTTTTGAGACTATAGATGGTAAGGTTTTAGTTATAAAGTAAAAAAAAAAAGAATTGGATGCATTTATGGGATAAATAGGGTTGGATTTGGTTTGAGCTATGCTAAAATGGATTAAATATGGAATTTATTGTGGATCCACTCAGTTCCAAATCCACATCCAGTGAGGCAACAAGGCATATGGCCTATAAGTTTTTAAATATGGACTTGTATTTTGTTGGATGTCACAACTCTGCAGTTTCTTTTAGTTAATACGTTATCAATTAAGGAGGTTGTGAGTTCCTTGATGGCTAAAGCTGAATTTGGGTTGAGTAGGACAAATTCAAATATTTTATTCATCAAGTCCACATCCAGTGAGGCAACAAGGCATATGGCCTATAAGTTTTTAAATATGGCATATGGCCAGGAGGTGATCTTGAAATAGTTGGATACATTGACACGGACTGGGTTGGCTCTGTATCAGATAGAAGATCCACTACAGGTTATTGCATCTTTCTTGGAGGAAATTGAAGAAAACTGTAGAGAGGAGAGCTGAGAGTTCAGCAATGAGGGTCTGAGAATGAGAGTTTCGAACCTTCTCTCTCTCAGCACCCTAACATTCTTTTATTAAGATATATTTGAATAATTACAAGGAGGCCCTTAGGTGGGCAAAAATTTACAAAGAACTTAATATAGACAGGATGGGCCTAGAATAAGGCCCATTACAGAAAAGAAACATAAATAAC